TGTGCACGTATGTATGCTTACATGCAATTCTATGTATGCATGTGTGTATGCTTACATGCAATCCTATGTATGCATGTGTAAGCATGTGTATGTATGTTTGCAAGTATGTATGCAGGGTAGGTAGGTAGGCAGGTAGGTAGGCACATCAGCAATTATGTAAGCCATCATCTTTCTTATTCTAAGTGGGTTCTCGTGTCACACGAGCATTAACTCTCACACGAATTAAAAGAAAAGAAAAGTAAAGAACAGGATGGGAAAGAAACACAAAATAAAAAAAAACTGTAGTAAAAATAAAAAAATGCAAAGAAAGTAAAGTTTTTTATTTGAAAAATAATCGAATCGAACGAGAAAAAACTAAACAACTTTTGAAGAACAAAAGAATAATAAACAAAATGATGTAGACAAAACAAAGAAATACACAGACAAACAAACCAATAAACAGATTAACAGACAGACAGACATACTGACATACAAACAAACAAACAGAGGCAATTTTAAGTACAGCCATTATTCGCTCAAGTTTTTTTGCTCATGTATTTGCCTTTTTCTTAAATGATTGACTGACCAGTAAAAAGTATAAGAACTATTTAAAGTAACAACATTAAAATCTATGTGTGTTGGTTTATGTATGTATGTACGTGTATGTGTGTGTATGTGTGTGCACTCAAATGTACGTGTAATTAATTAGTCTGCAAATATGTGTGCACTTGTGCATGCATGTTTGTATGAATGCATAATACACAGGTATGTATGTGTATATACACCGTATGTACTCTGGTAATACCACTCATTGATTCGGTTTGGGTAAATCTGCGTGTGCCTATGTCTCTATCAATCATGTATCCATGGATTTTTAAATGCGTTTTTTGAATAATTCGCCGGCTATATTGATAAAAGTAGAAAGGAGTGAGTTAGCGAATGAGTGAATGAATGAATGATTGAATGAATGAATGCATGAATGAATGATTGAATGAATAAATGATTGAATGAATGAATGATTGAAAGAATGAATGAATGAATGAATGAATGAATGAATGAATGAATGAATGAATGAATGAATGAACGAACGGACGAACGAACGAACGAACGTACGAACACTTAAATGATTGAATGATAGAAAAAACAAATAAACGCAAAAAAGAACAGAAGAATGACTGAGGGTATTATAAAATCCAAACGTATTAAAGAATGGGAAAAATGGGTGGCAGCATTGCATGCACTCACACACGCACGTTCGTATAGTCAGGAAGTAGTTGATAATAATCCAAACGTGGTGATAAATCAAGGCAAGTACAATGTGCCAGCTACAATAAATGCTCGTTTGTCGGTTTTCTTCCTTTCGAATTTGTTCTTTTCATCATTTTGTTTTTATTATTATTATTATTATTTATGTGTTTTGAAATACGTCTGTGCTCGTGTTTGCTTGCGTATTTCCGTTTTTTTTAGTTTTTTTTTGTTTTTTTTTATGTTTCTGAAAAACGATGAACAAATGATAAGCTTCACTCAACAGTCTTCAGAAGAAAAATGTTTTTCTTCCGAAGTGCTTTCCTTTATTATTATTTTTTTTATGTTCGTTTCGTTTGTTTGTTTTGTATGTATTTGTACGTTTGTATAGCTCTGTTTTGTACACAGATATGTACATTTTTGTATACTTTTGTACCTCTGTTTTTGCGTATGTTATAAGCCAGTATATGTGTACACTAGGTAAATGTTCGTTCGTTCGTTTGTCTGCAGTTTAAAGATAACAAAGATGGGGATAAAGATAATAAACATAAAAAGTAGAAACAACAACAATAATAATAGCAATAATAACAAAAATAATAAGGATAAAAATAACGCTAATGACGATGAATGCAATGCAAAAAAACAACAACAGAAAAAAAAACAACAAAGCAATTGAATATTACGTTTCGTACTCCAAGTCGTATGAATGGCGTTGGAAATAACTCCATGGCAAAGTCAGGGTTCAAAATGAGGTCAGCCCTACTTAGGGCAAATGTTATGATGATGATAATGATGATATTGATGACGATGATGATGAAGAGGATGATGATACCGACGGTGATAAGGGTTGTAGGGGTCAAAGGGTATAATAAGATAGGACTCGTTGTGGCTAAATGTTATGATGATGGTGGTGACGAAGATGATGGCGACAATGATAAGGCTTACAATGGTGATAATGACATTAAGAGTGTTCATGAAATAATTATTAATAATTATTAGTCTTAAAATAATTATTCAAACTATAAAAATATATCAGTGATATAATACGAGTTAGGACACGATAATTTAAAATAATGACAGTAGATGATGGGTGATAAGAAGGAGGAAGATAATTAAGATGACGAAGAAGATGATGATAAAGAAGATGATAAAAATGATGATGAAGAAGATGATGAAAGAGAGGAGGAGGAAAAGGATTGTGATGAAAGTAAAAAAGATTTTGCCCAACATGGTTATGCTGTGTCAACCTGGGAAACATTTCAAAGAGAAATCTATGATGGTTTACGTCGGGTCAGAATTTATGATGATCGTCGTCGTCACCATCATCATATAGCCAAAAACATCATCATTACAATCACAATCATCATCATCATCACAATCATCATCATCATCACAATCATCATCATCGCAATCATCATCATCGTTTTTGACCACCACAACATCATCATCATCTTGATAGTTGTCAGCAAAACAAATGCTCTAGAAACGTGCGTGCAAAAATTGATGAATTGACTGGCTCAGGTGTTTGTACTGCAAATTGTGACTGGCTGCAAATTGTAGCTGGCTGCAAATTGTGGCTGACTGGCTGGCTGCTTGTCGCCATATGTGTTTGTGTGTTTGTGTCTAAAAAAGATAAAGAAATTAATTTGTGCGAGCGATATAGTTTTTCTAAGAATTTTTTTTTTATTTCCAAAAAATTTTTAAACTTTGAAAAGTTAGTTTTGCTTCATAATAAACGTTTAATTACTTTTTCAAACAAACAAATTTTCAATAAAAGTTTTTTGCTCTGATAACAATGAATTGAACATAGAGAGAGCAATTTGAAATTAAGACAAGTACAATTATATACGAGAACATACAAGCGGGTAAACGTGCGAACATATAAACTTACATACATGACAACATACAAACAAACATACAAACAAACATAAAATCATACAAACAAACGCGCAAACAAACGTTTCTGGCGTTAAAATTAAAAGTATGGAAAAAAAGCTGAGCAAATTTTTTTTTTTTTTTGTTGTATCTACCGGCAATTGAAATGCTTTCGACAGCGTTCATGAAAAAAATTTTGCGACATCATCATCTTCATCATCATCGTTATCATCGTCATCATCATCATCCTTATCATCATCGTCGGTATCATTATCATTATCATCATCATCGCTAGTATCATTATCATTTTAAACGGTACTATGTTAAGACCAGCATTATCATTAATGATTGTCATAGCCATCATCATTTTTTTTATCACCGTCTTATCATCATTATAATCTCTCATTCGTAATCATCATCTTCCTCATCGTCGTCGTCATCATCATTGCCTTCACATCATCATCATCCTCATCATCAGCCGTATATCATTATCACGATGAAGGTCTTCTAATATGATCATTTTGTTTGTGGGTATTTTATTCACTAAATCGACTCTTTATTCGGTAATTAATTCTTACTGACATTAATTATCTGGATGAAGTATTATTACAGTTGCGGTTTTTAATGGTTGTAATTAATATTGCGCTCTTAATGATGGCGATGATGATGGTAAGATGATGACGATGATGATGATGATACGAGAAGGAAAATGATGATGATGATAACGACGATGATGATGATATTAGACTGGATGATGAAACCACGAATGATGTATATATATATATATATATATATGAGGATGGTGACTAAAAAATATGTTAGTGATGAATGATTGCGTTAGCTAGATACAATTAATTTTCATTACAATGCGTTATCCATTATCTTTGGTTTCATTTTGAAAATGACGTCACCGACGGCTACGACGGCGGCGGCTTCAATGACGATGACGACAACGACGATGATGATGATAATGACGACGATGATGATGACGATGACGACGGCGATGATGATAATAATGACGATAAATAAATATAATAACACAGCCAACGCCCAATGTTTTTCTAAATTTTTCATCAAGACTCACCTGGCTTTTGAATTTTAGATTAATTTTATTTTTAAAAATAAAAAAATTAAAATAACGAGATTCAAAGTGAGAACAATTTTTTTAGTCGAACGTTCAATAAAACAAGCAAGACAACAATATAAAAACACGAGATGATGAAGATGACGATGAAGAAGATGACGATGATGACGATGAAGACCTCTTCATATAAATGATATATCGTGATAATTTTAACCATTTAGACTAGTAACATAAATAATATCATCACGAAACTTTCAAAATTGTTATCATCAACATTATTCTCCGTTACTATCAATGATATTATATCGTTGCATACAAGAAACTAAGCTAATATTAAATGTTTATTTTGTAAGTCTATCAATATATCACCATCGCCATCATCACCATCATTCTCACCATCATCACCATCATCATCACCATCCTAACCATCATCACCATCATCATTGTTGACGTCATCGTCATCGAAAGAAAATAAATTATTTGTCAGTAATTTTTCATACGCACCAACGATATGCATGCTGTCATCGTCATAATTCCATTTATTCACAAAAAAAAGTGAAAGAGTCAGCCTAGCAATAAATGCTTCTCTAGGGTTAACTCCTATACTACAAGAAATAACATAGTAAATAACCCAAAAAATAACAAATTTCATTGTCGTCATTACCATTTTTACCGCTATAACAACATCAGCATCGTCTTCATCGTCATCGAAGAAAACAACCATAACATCATCATCGTCATCACCATCATCATCATTCTCATCACTACTGTATAAAACACATCAGAGTCAGAGGGATTTCTGACAAATGAAACAACAATGGCCGCCACTCCAAATAACGTTACGTCAACGTCATCACCGACGTCATCATTGTCACAGATGATTACGTCATCGTCAAATACGGTATCATCATCAAAACTAGCTACAACACCAGTAGCAGCAACGACATCGGCTGCTGTTGTGAAAACAATTACGAACGTGACTAACAAATTTATCATCAAAACCAGTAACAACAACAACAACAACATAAACAACATAAACAACAACTCAAATAATAGTTTAAAATCTATAAACACATCCTTCTACATAACAACACCACCACCGACAAACACGAAAACTTCTAATAACAACATCAACACAAACTACAACAACACTTCTACAGCAACAACAAAATCGATACAATACAAACCAACTCACAACAACAGCAACAACACCAAGTACATCTTCAATTTGAAATCAGCCAACAACAACAACAATGACAGCTACCAAAACAAAAACTACCACCACAACAACTACCCATACGATGATGACGACGACGACGTTGATGAAGATGATGAGGATGAAGATGACGAGGAGATAACATTTCTGGAAGCCTGCATGGATTGTGATGATGACGCACTCTATGACATCATCAGAGATGGAGTGACCAAGGAACAAGTCAACGAAGTGGACAAATCGGGCCGGGTAAGATTTGATGATGATGACGCTAGTGATGATGGCGATGATGACGACGATGATGATGATAATGATGATTTTGATGATAATGATGATGATGACGACGCCGAAAAGACACCAAAAAGCAAACAAACAAATCACATTCATTACAACATATGATACCAACAAAAACAAACAAACACACATAAGATGAAAATAAAAACGAACGGACAAATAACAGTCACATAATACATGTGATGAAAATATTTTGAAGACTAACATCAGTCACTAGATTGACGATAAAAATGATGATGAAGATAGTTAAAAAGATGGCAAATTAACAACTTGGATGATGACGATGATAAAAAATTTTAATGACTTCATTGTCGATAGCTTTGTTGATATAATGATACACGTAAATGAGGAAATAGATACATAACTGTGTGTTTGTATTGCATATGGGCAAATAGATATATGTGTTTATCTGTATGAGAATGTATAAGGATATCATACCGATGCCAAAAAAGTGAGTTGTGTAACATCTATGTGTGTATCTTTTTGTATGTGTATGCGAATACGTTTCAGTATATCTGTGTGTGTGTGTATAATTGTATGTATATGTTTGTGTATAAATATGTTTGCGTGTTTGTGCATGTGAGTTTGTGTCTGCCTATATTAAGGTATGACTATGTGTATATATAATTACATAATTTATTCAGTATGCCGAAATGTTTTCAGCGCTGGTGTTTTGACTGTGAGAAAAGCTTTGATTTATTGCTTTACACGGTCTACATGTTATTCTATATGCGAGTGCCTGTGCATAAGTTTGTTTGTGTTTGTGTGTATGTGTATACGCACACACACACATAAACAAACATATACAAACCATTCTTTTTGAATAATACTTACAAGAAGATTGTTATACGTTTTCCAGCAATTAAAAAAATATATAAAACTGCACAAAATATTGAATCAATAAACTCCTAAGCAATCATATACAAAAACAATTTTGAAATCTTACAAAAAAAAACTCACAGAAACATACAAACATAAACAAACACAAAATATAAACTATACCTGGAAAAATAAACACGAAACTTCGACGCAATTTTTATCATCCGCAAAGACGTTTTTCCAATATTAAGTAGGTGGGGTATGTTTGTATACATACAATTTACATCTTGTACGCAATTCAATTGTATATTTGTTGCTGTATTGTTTCTATGTTTTTAGTGTTTGTATATACGTTGTATATATTTGTGTATCCTTATAGATAGTGATATCGTTCATCTATGTTCATTTTTTATATTCGTATGTTGCAAACATCTGTATATCGATTAGTTTGTGGTATTTTTTCATATAATAAATACAATAAAATACACAAATATACACAGTAATTTGATTTAATTGCTATTGAATGTTATTGTCAATATTTTATTTTTTAGAAAATTAATGCCTTCTGACTGGAGATATTTTTCTATATATTTCGTATTCCTATTTTTTGTCTGCAGTTCGTTATTAATCTACCTCTAGTATGTGTTTGTGTGTGTGTGTGTATGTGTGTGTATGTATGTGTAATGTGTGTGTACGTGTGTGTACGTGTGTGTATGTGCGTGTATATTTATTTGTTTTCCAAATTTTCTTTTTTCCCGGGAGTAAAATAGCGATTGGCAAGCTGGAAAGCACATTTTGTCTTCATCACTGCTTCAAGATGCCTCCGTGAGTAATGATGATAGTGGCGATGACGAAGAAGAAGATGATGATAGCGATGATGGCTAAGAAGATGATGATGGTATCATGATAATGAATTGGATGATGGTAATGATGGTGATGATTAGTTTGTGGTATTTTGATAGTATTAGTTAATACTAATAATAGTTTGTGATAGTAACGATATAGAGGGCAATGATACGAAAGCAAATAATAATTATGGCGTAGTTGTAGTTCTATTCAAGTAATTTTTAAACTAACCATAATCGCAATGACATTATTAGCAATAGTAGTAGCTGTAGTAACGACAATAACAGCCAAAGTAGTAAATGTAGCGACGGTAGTATCCAAATAAAAGTTGTAGTAAAAGTAGTAGCTTCCGTAGTAGTGAAAATACTGGTAGTAATAATAACGGTAAAGTTATTTTTGTTACAGCGGTCTTAAAGCTAGTAGAAAAGGTGTTAAAGAAGGATTCTTCTCATGGAATCAACAAGAGGAATGGCAGAGTGTTTGATTTGACATGTGGGTTTCAGTTCATTCAACTACTACTCCTACTCCTACTACTACAACTACTACTGCTACCATAACTACTACTACTACAACCATCACCATTACTACTACTACTACTAATAATAATAATACTATTACTACTACAACTACTACTACCACTACTACTACTACAACAACAACAACTACAACAACTACGACTACTACTACTACTACTACTACTACTACTACTACTACTACTACTACTACTACTACTACTACTACTACTATTGTTTCTACTGCTACTACTACAGCTGCTACTACTACTACTACTATTTCATTATTATCATAAATTTTTCATTATTATTTCATTATTATTTATGGCGTAATAATTGCATTTAATATTTTCCTCCGACCTCTTTTGTTTTTCCCTTGCCAGGGGTTTGTTTACACAAACCGCGCGAATGTTTGTTGCGAAACTTTATTACATATTTCTCCATTGTTCTCAAGTTTTAAGAGGTTTCATTCATATATTCATCATTTTCACGTTGTTTTGTTTAATATTCCTTTCTTTGTTTGTTTATCATTTTGTTTTGTTTGTTTTGGTAAACATTTTGTTTTATGTTTGTTTATTTGGTTTGTTTAGTTCTTTGTTTGGCTCGGCGGCTTGAGCGTACGATTCTGGATTAATGTGGTATTAACCTGGAATTGGTAGTGTTGTTGCTGTATTGCATTTGTTGTTGCTGCGTGGCTGTTTTTGTTGTTGTTGTTGTGTTGTTGTCATTGCGTGGCTGTTGTTGTTGTCGTTGTGTAGCATTGTTGTTATTGTTGTTGTTCTTGCTGCTGCAGTTGTAACTTTTTCCACATAATTTTTTAGTATCTGTTTACTTGATGTTTGTTTGATCTTTTTTTTCTGTTTTGACGCGTTGACGTGATTGTTTTTGTTGTTCTTTTCATGTCCTTTTCGTCGTCGTCGTTGTTGTTGTAATAGTTATATTAATGTAATGAGATCACTGAGATCGTCTGTGTTGTTGGCTGAAATTTTGTAATGTTTTTAAAGGTGGTTTCTCAATTTCATGTCATTAATGCTCGTAATGTCGTTCTCATAGATGTTATTAATATAATTAGATATTATTATATATTATTATATAATTAGATGATAATATTGTTACTTTTATTGGTGCTTTTATTGTTGTTGTTGTTGTTGATGTCGCTGATGTTGTTGTTATTTTTTGTTATAATTGTTAATGTATTTTTTTAAAGTTGTTGATGTTGTTGATGTTGTTACTGTTGTCATTGCTTTCCTTTAAAGTTGTTGTTGTTGATGTTGTTGTTGTTGTTTTTGTAATTATTGTTATTGTATTCCTTTGAAGTTGCGTTTTAAGACTCGTACTTGGTTTATATAAATAATCCAATGGTTAAGAATGATGAAGATTGAAGACAGTCGAGCCGACATCAGCAACTTCGGGATCACGCACTCACGCACACATACACACACACACGTACACACACACATTTAGACACACATTTATAGATACATACAAACGCACACACACGTCACAAACAAAATAATACAAACATACATAAATATACCATCACTTATTCAGAAACACGAAACAAAAACTCATACTTGCCCATACAAAAACACATTCTTGCCTACACACGCATGAATACAAAGATATGTAGACAAAAACTTAATGATACATATCTACAACATAAACAACCACATGTATTGATGGATACATACATTACATTCGTCATTCGCTCAAGATCGAAACAAATGTATATATACATTGAGATGAAATTGCTCAGAGGGAAATTTAAAAAAAAAGATTTAATGAGTTGGGCGGAATAAAATGTGATACAATGTGATAGAATGGGAAGTAATAAGAATGCGATAAAAAAAAAATAAAATTAAAAAATTGAAACAAACGAAAATAAAAGAATGTATTAGAATGCTACGAGGAATTAATTGCCAGAAAAAGAAGAAAAAATTCATCGGAACAAAATAAGGCTTCGCTGGTAGGAATTGAATCGGAATAAAGAACGAAATTAAGCTTTATGTTTAAAGGTAGAAAGGTTTTTGAGATTTGAAAGTTGTGTCAAAGAACAATAAAGAAAATATAATATAGACACACGCACGCGAGCGTGCACAAATTTCAACATATATATACAAGCACATGAAGTAAAATAAACAATTAACCTACAAACTAACAAAACTCGGATAGTTGCAGAAAATATTTTTAAGTCTGCAAAATCAAACAATCCAATAAACAAATATAAGAAGAAAATGCAAAACAAACAAACAAACTTAAACAAACAAGCAAGCTAGCAATCTTTAAATTACTGAAAATGTAAAAGTTAAAAGCTCCTTTGACTGAACAATCAATTGAGAACACGAACCTTTAATGAGTTGCATAAACAGAAAATTAAAACTGAAACAATCTACACAATAACTGCAACTACTACTACCACCACTACACTACTACTACTACTACTACTACTACTACTACTACTACTACTACTACTACTACTACTACTACTACTACTACTACTACTACTACTACTACTACTACTACTACTACTACTACTACTACTATTACTACTACTACTACACCACTACTGCTGCTATTACTATCTCATCTACTGGTACTACTACTACTACTACTGTAACTAGCACAAAAACAAAAATTACAAGAGCCAGCCACATTGCATTGATATTTTACAGCAAAAACTCAAGCAAAATTGTCCCAATGAGTTATCCTAAAACTAAAAATTTATCATCGGTAGCATCAATGACATTAAAAAGGTGTACCACAACTAAAACAATGGCACTAACAAAATTCATAAAATTTTTTAATAAAATGTAAACCACAAAAAATATGAAAGTAGTAGAGCAAAGATAAATAACAAAATGTTTCCGACGAATGTTCTTCCGGTTTGTTTTCTTTTTTGGCTTTTATTATACAAATTTCAATTGTCTATGTACAACTTACATACATACATACACACATACACACACACCCACACACACATGCGTGCACACACACATAACTTGTATACATAACTTTTCCAAAGCGGGAAACAAATTTTCTCTCAACAATAAAAAATGGCCAAAAAATTGTAGTTTTAATTTATGTGTTTGTATTTGTGCGTGTGTCTGTGCGTGCGTGTTTGTGTCTGTGAGTGTGTGCGCATGTGTGCGTGTGTGTGCGCGCGTGTGTGTATTGATGGCGTTAATGATGTAAACGCACGTGACCAGTTTACAACGTACAAGTTGTTCGGTTGATCTTCTTCAAATTCGTCCATATTTCACAAACTTGCGTTTTGCTTGTGCGTGAATGTGTGTGTGTGAGAGGATGTATGTGTGAGTGTGTGTGTGTGAATGTGTGCGTGAGTGTGTTTGTTGGGTTGTGTGTGTATGAGAGAGAGAGAGAGAGAGAGAGAGAGAGAGAGAAAGAGAGAAAGAGAGAGAGAGAGAGAGAGAGAGAGAGAGAGAGAGAGAATGTGAAAAAAAGTGTGTTTATTTTTCTGGTCTGGCAATAATTTTGAATTTTCCTTTGTAAACAATGTAAGTGCGTAAATTTGAAAACTAAACAATTTCTCGGAAGCTCGTCTGCCTGTTTGCTTCTGGCAGACGTATATATTAACAAACTGCTTCTAAGCAGAGGAGAAAAATAATTCAACAAAATCAATTAGAATACAATAAATAACTAGCAATTTCAATAAACAAACAGAAACACATACACCCACAAACAAACACTCACGCAAATATTTACTTGCAAACGCACACAGACATACACATATATAGGCATAGATATACACACACATACACACGTATACAAACACACACACATACAAACGTACAAACAAAGCCACAATCCTTAACGTGTAACCTGAGGATGTAAATATTTAAGGAGGGTAATGCGAACGGTAGGAGGAACTGATATTAATAGCTTGGGACTTGATAGATTTAAGGCACTACTTTGCTTTTCCGTGCTAGCCATACACACACACACACACACGCACACGCACACCACACCACACTCACACACCTGCATATATACTCACACACCTGTACACAAATACATTTATATATGTATGTTTGTACAGTTTCTCGCTCTATATCTCTTTCTTTCTCTTTCTTTTTATACACACACGGAAAAAGAATGACAGAAGAAAAAAAAGAAAGAGAGACGGAGAAAGAGAAGGAACGCACGTGTTGTGAAATGTAATTAATTTTTATAAGTGTTTATATTCCGATCCGTGTAAGTTAGTTCGTACTTTTGCGAATTCGAGTACTTACATACTTATATAGAACTTGCGTATTAAATTGCGTACATTTGCGTAAGAAGAATGTGACGGATCTAAAGATTTTGAGATATTCAGTATCTATATCCGAATTCAAATTCAGATTCAACTCGCATGTCTTCTTGAAATCTGTTGCGCGCTCTCAAATCTGAACATGCTCACACCAAATAAACTAAATAAAAATTAACGTTAATTTTAAGCGTTTGCAATTTGGCAGATGTTACTAGAAGTATCAATATCATTGAATAATGGAACACAGTGAATAATGACTATCAAATACTGAAATGTAATTATATAAAAATGTGTTGCAATTATTATTATTTTTATCACTATCTTCAAAAGGTGTATTAGTTACTTTGCAGATAGCATTGAAACAAACCAAAATAACATCAATGTCACTATGAGAACATGACAACAGCAGCTGCAAAAGCAAAAAAGAACAACAAAAACTATCTAAAGAGAAACATAAAACTACATCAATACTAATGTTTAGACTAAGAATTGTCAAAATATGCCATGGCAAATATGGAAAAACGAAACTCAGAAAAAATATGAAAAAAAATTTTTTGATTATTTTATGCAAAACAACGTAAAAGACAACATTGTAGAGTAATTTAATGACGGTAATATTGATAACAAAGCATCATTATGTCGATCAGAGAGCAGGAAAAACTGAAAAAAATACAAAATAATACAAAAAACAACATAATGAAAAATGAAAATAAAAAAAATCTCATCATCAAGTAGATGAAAAAATACAGAAAAAAAATTTACTTTTTCAATTTGCATTCGGCGGTAGCGTTATATGTTTATGTTATATAATGTGACTTTTGAGTGTTTAAGTATGTTTGTATGTGTGTGTTTGTTTGTCTATGTGTGTGTGCGCGCGCGTGTGTGTTCAGTGTTTATTGAAATGTTTGTCTGGGAATGTATCGGCGTTTTTCATAATTGAACAGCAGTTCCGGTTTCAAAGTGCTAAGAAGAGCAAAAAACTATTTGTACTTCTGTTGGTTATCAAGTGCAAAATACAATAAACTAACAGACAAACAAACGAACGAACAAACGAACAAACAAACGAACAAACCAAAACAAACAAACCAAAACAGACAAAAGTACAAACACAGATATTACCAAAAATTAGAAAAGAGCGGACCACTGGTAGGAATGTTGCGGTAGACGTTCCACATTGCTTCCAATCAACCAAGCAAATACAAACGTACATTAATATAAAATTCACGAATATCTTCTCAGTCTTTCCTGCTGCTTAGCTACAACACGAGTAAGATTGTTGAAACATTTTTTGAAGTCGCAACAATAACAGAAAAAATAAAAAAACCAAAAGACATAACACGGTGGAAAACAGCTACAAAAAAGAGATCTCCAGCAAAACGGCACCACTACCACCAATATTATTATTATTATTATTATTATTGTTATTATTATTATTATTATTATTATTATTATTATTATTATTTGTGTCTTTGTGCCTCGTATACTTTTTGTACTTGCCCTACGCAATGAGCGAAAAGTTTTATCACTAACAGCAACAACTTTCTACATTCATTAATTATTCTTTGGAAATTTGGATTTTACGATGAAATAAAAGGCTGTTCACATTATAACGAATTTCTCTTTAGCAATTTTCAAAGGCCTCAACTTCAAACACACAGTGAATGTAAATGCACACGAAAGGATGCATCACACGCACATATAGCATGTGATATCGATCGAATCCCGTCAATACAATTGCAGCGCCAGGCACTTTACCGCCACACCATCGCGTCGCCCAATAATAATATTAACAGCCGTTCCTCCAACGACGAAATTTTTCGGAATCGTGGAAATAAAAAATATTTATGTAATGAACCAATTGCATTAAGACATTATATAATGATGATATAAAGCTGCAAAAACCAACAACAACAACGACAACATAACCAAATCTCTTTAGCACTAACACGGATATAGAACAACTTTCCCGGGAGCAACCATATCAACATAATCAACTACTGGTTTTAACGTTTCACTTGCCGTGTTGTTTAAAACTATCAATGACAATGAAACACGATAATATAAATAATGAAAATAACGACAACAACAACATCATCAACAGCAACAACATCATCAACAGCAACAACATCAACAACAGCAACAACAATAACAACGACGTGTGCAGTTTTAACACAAGCAAAGCCTAAATAACGACCACCAAGCACTTCGATATTAGTTAAGTGTCGCAATGTTCCTTAATTAACTCACAAAAGGTTCTAAATTATGTAGAAGGCTGAGAGTAGTGGCTTGGTCGCGGCGTTGTGATGGGATGGTGTGTTGTCTTGTGTCGTGCGTGATTTTGACACGTTTGGCTGTTTGAGGTGTTCTTGTTAAAGTGCTTTTAAATGTGTGTGTGTGTGTGTGCGCGTGTTTGTATGTCTCTCCCTCTACGTACATGTGCGTGTCCTTCCTGAAGTTCATAAAACATTAAACTCAAGAAAATTGCCTTTACTTACGAAACATACACAAACACACACACACAAACACACAGACATAAAATCTCTGAGATACATAGACGCTGATCAAAACAGGGTTGGCTTTTTTATTGCCAATATAATTCAGGGTACTGTGAAACCTGCCTTTTGAAACCAGAATATTCGAAAGTTTACAATTTCTGATTTTTTCGTGTTGACGTTTTTGTTTGAAAAAAATACATTTCGCAAATAATATTGTCACTTTAC